CTTGGCACCACGGGCTGAGCTTTTCTTACCCCTCTTCCTATGGTTTATAAACCCCAGACTCGATTCAGAGCCTCAGGTGAAATGCAGGCTGCAGGTCAGCTGCTGGGCGCCGGTGCCAGAAGGGCCAGGCTCCCTGCAGGATGAGAACCGCAGCTCGGACCACTTTCCTAACACGCTGCAGGAGCAAACCGTGAGAGATACTTCTCCCAACTGAACTCTTGCCGGTGTTGGGGTCTGCCAGTTGACTTCCCACCAAGTGTTTTGGGTGGGCCGAGCAACGCAGATGTTGTCTGACAGCCGCACACCAAGGCACCTGCGAGGCACCTTCCTTTTTCCTAACAAATCACCACATGGGGCGAGACCCAGCCACAAACCTTCCCCTGGAGCACCTTCCCTCCTTCTCTCTCCCCTTCCAGAGGCAGAAGAAATGGGGACTCCCTGCCCCTATAAGCCAGCGGCATTTGCCGGGCCCTAGCATCAAGGGGAGGAATGGGAAAGGATTAAGAGGGGAGCAGCCTGCCAGGCACCGCCGGGCTAAGCTGCCGGTGCGCGCCTGGTACGATGTGCCACGCAGCCCCTGGCACGGTGGCACCGGCTCCCCAACAGCAGGGCACAGGGTAGGGGAGAGGGACGGGAGGATGGCAGGGGTGAGGATGCTCGGGGGCTCGGCTTCGCTGCAAGGTCGGCCCTGAGCATCGGCGAGGAGAGAGGAGGGGGCTCCGGGGAGGTGCAGAGCATTCTGCCCGGGCTCCCCGGGGCAGCGGCAGCCCTGCAGCACGCTCCCACCTCTACTGAGCCCCACGCGCTGAAAGAGCCTCCTGCAGAGCGAGGAGGAAGGTTAAGCTGGTGGATGAGAATTCCAAATATTTGTCTCACCAAGGGGGGGGGATAAAGAAAAAAGACATTTGGGGAGGACTGTTGTAGAGGAAGAGAGACCTGGATAGGAAAGGAGAAGGTCGAAGCCCTTAAGTCAACTTCCACCGACGTTTGGATAAGACCCTCAGTTTGGAAGCCAACTTCAGCTCCTTCTGGTCCTCCCGGCCCAGGCTAACGGTGCTGGGTTCTGGTTGGTGCTACTTTATCCAGCAGGATGGGATGTGGGCTGGGCAGGGCTGGGCTTCTCACTGGAGTCCACCTCCCTGGTGGGACATCTCTCCCAACATCTCAAGTCCTCCCATGGCCCTGCTCCCCCACTTAAGTTCCCCTCTGTCATGTTAAGCAGCGTTCCCGTGGACTTAAAGCACTTGTATATGCTTTGAGCTGCAAAGCCAGGCAATGGGGTCAAAGAAAGGCACCTGGGCATCTTGCAGAGGACAGCAGTGCTGCTCCATCACAAAAGAAACCTCTTCCACCCCACCACGGATCAAACCTGGCATGCTGGGGTGTGCTTGCTGGTGGCACAGCTGGCTCCCCACCGTCCTCATCGGCCCTGTGCCGCGCCGCAGGAAAATCCCCTGTCCTGGGGCAGGCACTCTGCAACCCCAGGAATTTCGCTGCTTTATGTCCTAGGGGCCAGAGGGTCCTCTGGATGGCCAAAATCAGAGAGGACCTCTGACATCAGGACGCCTGTGTGCACGACTTGCAGCCCAGCACTTGTCTAAGCAGTCTCATAATCCTTAGTGCTGTACAAGGCAAGAAGCAGTGCTCCTTCCAGGGGGAGACCATGGCCAAGAGCTGTCATGGCCCAGAACCCTCCTTCCCCAGAGATGCCGAACGCACGCGGCCAACTCCTGGCACTAAGCTTCTTCCCACTTCGATAAACTGGAAAGATTTGCCAGATGGCAAAAAAGGAACAGAATTAATAGACAATGCACGCACACTGATGCTCTGGTCCTTTGGACTTCCAAAGACCTGCAGAAGACCATCACCTGGCATCAGGGGGTTCACAGCACAGACACCCAACCCAGTACTCCGCACATCAGCCTGAGGAAATGTTTGTTTAGATAAATAACCCTGCTTAACAAAGACAATGTTTGATGAGCTCTAAAGCGCTCCAGAGATTAAACAACAAACCATTGAGCAGTCTTTAATCCTCTGATTTCTATCAGGGACCTTTAGTCGTGCCCCCAGACAGGCAGAAAGGGAGCAGGGACAGTTTCATTTGAGGCCATATAAAATATAAAAATCCTCATGCATGAAGGAAAACCACGTCTTTTTAAAAATCAAAGACCTCCTGGCAATATGTGCCCAAACTGTCGTTCAAAACTCCACTGTTCAGAAGCTTCTTGCACGTAGTATCTTGGCCATCTCTGACAGCCAAAACAGCAAGTTTAGCTCAGTCCATGCACCCCGACCTGTGCAGATTGGCCGTTGAAATGTAAACACAAATACGTCTTTAACAACAGCTGCAAAGCCTGCTCTGTATTTTGAAGAACTTATCACATGGCCAGAAGGTGATAGGGAGCCCGAAAGAAAATGAGAGAAGCTCCCAAAGATTTTACCAGTGATCAAGATCTAGAACCCACCTGCTTTTGAATCACTTAAGCCCGTACGAATTTCTCCCTACACCAGCTACACATAAATCAAGATGCTGAAATAAAATTTAAAAATCATTAATTTTCACATAGCCGGGAGAAGCAGACATACAATGAATTATTTAAGATGGGGAGGGGCTAGAGAAACGGCAGCTGGCATAAACCTGCTGGGTGAATTGGTGTCAGTGACCATTGGTACCACCCGAGACCTGCTCCAGGAGGACATGCTGCGAAGATGTTTCTGCTCACAAGGCATGGAAGCCCACCCCAGTTTCTTCCCTTGCTTTTCCTTGTTTTTTTTTTTTCAGGGAGCGCTCAAGCAAGGACACACTCGAGGGAGGGAGACGCCAGCTCCTCCTTCCTCCCCGCTCAAAATGAGATTTTCACTGCCTGTTTCTGAGCTGCCTTCTGACACAAGAAGACCCCAGACAACTTGTGTTTTCTGATCCGATCTCACATGGGACTTGTCAGCATTTAAAGCAGCCTCCTCGGGATCCCTTTCCACATTTCCAGGGTTGCTGAGCAGGAGTCAGAGCATGGGAGCTCACCTGGCTCAGCAGTGGGCAGACCCCGGCTGTCCCTCCCTGTCAGACCAAGGGAAAAAAAAAAAAAAAATCCCTAAACATGCAGATGATGAAAAAGAAAAAAAAAAAAAAAAGAAAAAAAAAGGCAAGGAAGGAATAAGCAGAGTATTTTGAACAGCAGACTTCCAAAGCTGAACTTTATCTCAGCTTCAGCAGTTTATCAGAGAGCAACATCGCTCTGGCATTCACACTGAAAGGGACTAAAATAACTTAAAATAATTTGATTTTCTAGATGGGCTTGCCCAGAGCTCCTTTTAAAGATATTTTTGTTTTTATTGTTTTTTTTAAAGCTGCAGAAGAGACACAAGGAGGTCTGAAATCACTATTTGCATCTAAAAGGACGAAGCTTTCTTTTTTCCCTCCCATACCTGAATTACTATGACCTGCCTTAAACCAGACAGAGGCGGGTACTACCCCATAGCTTCAGACACACTGATGTGCTCGGTGGTCGGGAAGCTGGCACCACCAAAATCAAACGGGATGCAATGATAGGGAAGAAAAAAAAAAAAAAAAAAAAAAAAAAAAAAAAAAAAGGGAGAGAGACTCTCAGAACGGGATTACCCATTTTCCCCCAACGCAAACCCAAAGTAACTCACCGTGCTGGGGATGTGGGAATGTCAACCCCCGGGATGCACAGCCCTAGCAGGATGCTCACGGAGCAGTGGGACCGCGACCCCTGGGGTCACCCCGTGCCCCCCCCTCCCCTGGCCGAGCTGGCGCAGCATCCCAGCACAATCACCCTGGAAAGGACAGCAAGCCCCGAAGCAATTTCTGGTGGGACGCTTTGCAACCAGAGCCGGCATTTCAAACCCGCCGTTTTAAGGAATCGCTACCACCCCTCCGCTTTAGAAATCCTTTAAGCGGCGAACTTTAAATTATTAATGTTTTGGGGGAAGAGTGAGGCTCGCACCGCGCCACGGGCTCCCACCCTGCGCAAGAACAAGCGTGGTCTCACGGGGTGGGAGATTTCAGAAACACCAGCACCACGCTGGTCCTCCCTCCTCTGCTTCAGAGCAGCATCAGAGACGAGGGGGTTTGGGCAACACGGTCAGCGCTGCAAAGGCTGATGCAGCAGAGCTCCTTTCCAGGGCAAAAAGAGAGAGGAAAACACAGCCGATACAGTCAAACAAATTGACCTGACGCTGCAAGGCAAACATCTCCTCTCTGTTTACATTCCACCCGTTTGCCAATCCTGGAAGAAGGATTTAAAAGAGAACGGAAAAGGAAAGAGGAAAAAAAAAAAAAAAAAAAAAAAGGCATTCAATACATTCAATTTGGAGTTCAAAAGAGAAATTATGGTGTTTCTGAGGTCCATGTGCAGCATTCTCAAGTCACTGGTGTTTCGTCAGGAAAATCCAGAGCTGCCTAAATACCCTCCTGTGAGCTCCTGTTAATTACAGTCATTACAGCCCAGTGGAATGCAGATATGCCTTCAACACGGTCTATTTTAAAAGGTTTCAAATAAACTGTAACCACATTACCGGTAATTATTATTCATCAGCAGCACACTGAGTATTTCACCGGTCTATTATAACGGGGGGGGGGGGGGGGGGCGGAAAAAAAAAAAAGTCACTTGCAATGATGAAACTTTGCGACGGGGCACAGTCCAGCTCTACTCCCGCAGCTCCGCCTGCCAAAGCCTCAGCCCGGGATCGCGCTGAAACCCTCCAGCCTAAACCTCGGTTTTCTACTTCAGCAGAACCCACGGACAAAACCGACTTCATCTGTCCGCATCCCTCTAATTCCGAACAAGTGTTGAGCTCGGCTTTCGCCCCGGGGCGCGATGCATTCTGAAGCCTCGCAGTTGGGGATTGCAAAGCGAGAAAAGCCGGTGTTAGAAAGGGGGGGAAGAAGATGAAAAAAAAAAAAAAAAGTACTTCTAAGGGAAAAATAAAAAAAAAAAAAGGGGGGGGGGGATGCTCCCGCCGGTGGTGCCCCTTACCGCTGAAGAAGCTCTTGGCGCGGAGGTAGCCGGCGCTGAGGCGCAGGACCGACAGCTTGTCCAGGCTGGCCACCACGTCCTGGGGGAAGGGCAGCAGCCCCGCCAGCCGCTCCAGCTCCCGGTTCAGCCGCTCCCGGTGCCGCTTGGAGGGGTTGGAGGTGCCGCTTTCGGCCGGCCCCGGCCGCACCCTGCACGGGCAGAGCCGCCTTACCGGGCGCCCGTCGGGCTGGGTGCTCCCCCTCCATCCCTCCATCCCTCCATCCCTCCATCCATCCCTCCATCCATCCCTCCATCCATCCAACCATCCGTCCATCCATCCCTCCCTCCCTCCTTCCCCGGGACCCTTCCCCTCGCCCCCTCACTCACGCCCGGGGCACCGGCTTCCTCCGCTTGCGACCCGCGTACATGGCCGGGCCGGGAGCGCAGCGCATCGCGGGGCAGCGGCCGCCGCCGCCCAGCCCGCAGCCTCCCCCCGGGGGGGCGGGGGGGGGGTGGAAAGGGGGGGGGAGATGGAGCGGCACCGCCTCTGCCCCCGCCCCGGGAGAGGAGGGGCTGGGGGGGTGGGTGAGGGGGGATTGGGAGATGTAGGGGGGATGGATGAGGGGGGTAAGGGGGAGTTAGAGGTGAGCGGGGATGGATGAAGGGGGTAAGGGGGGGCTGCAGGGGGATTGTGGGCTGAATGGGAGATGTAGGGGGGATGGATGAGGGGGGTAGGGGGGGCTGAGGGGGCAATGGGAGGTGACAGGGGATGGGGGGGGAGATGGATGAGGGGGGTAAGGGGGAGTTAGAGGTGAGCGGGGATGGATGAAGGGGGTAAGGGGGGGGCAGCAGGGGGATTGAGGGCTGAATGGGAGATGGATGAGGGGGGATGGATGAGGGGGGTAGGGGGGGCTGAGGGGGCAGTGGGAGGTGACAGGGGATGTGGGGGAGATGGATGAGGGGGGTAAGGGGGTGCTAAAGGCAGAGTGGGAGGCAAAGGATGGGGGGGATGTGGGGCCGAAGGGGGATTGAGGGCTGAATGGGAGATGTGGGGGGGATGGATGAAGGGGGTAAGGGGGGCTGAAGGGGGAGTGGGAGGTGAGGGGAGGATGGATGAGGAGGGTAAAGGGGGTTGAAGGGGGAGTTAGAGGTGAGGGAGGATGGATGAAGGGGGTAAGGGGGGGCTGAAGGGGGGTATGGATGAGGAGGGTAAGGGTGGCTGAAGGGGGAGTGGGAGGTGAAGGGGGATGGATGAGGAGGGGTTGAAGGGGAAGTTAGGGGTAAGGGGGCCTGAAGGGGGATGTGGGGGGGATGGATGAGGGGGATAAAGGGGGCTGAAGGGGGAGTGGGAGGTGAGGGGAGGACGTGGAGGGGATGGATGAAGGAGTTAAGGGAGGCTGAAGGGGGATTGAGGGCTGAATGGGAGAGGTAGGGGGGATGGACGGACAGTCTGCACGTCCGTGCCACTGCGAGGGCACACGCCTGTGTCAGGGTGTGTGCCTGTGCACAAGCGTGCAGCGGCAGGGACACCCAGCGAGCTGTGCCTGCAGGTCAGCCTCAAGTGCAACCGTGAGCCCCAGCCCTGCACGGGGTGGTCAGGGGGTGCAAGCGGGGGACACCGTCACCCCCCCCCCCCCCCCCCCCCCCCCCCGCTGCTGCTGTGTATGCCCAGAGTGGCTGGGGACAGCGAGAACAAGCGTCACACCCCCAGCCTTCACCTGCAGCAACAGGGCCAGGAACCAAGCAAGGTCAGAGCACAAACACACAGGGCAGCAACGTGTGTTTCCATTACCTGGAACAACATTCCTCCCCAAAATTACCCTGTCTAAGGCAAAGCACAGCCCTTCTCCATCTGGGATCCCTGTCCCGTGCCTCCTCTGGGGCAGGAAGAGGGGGTGAACCCAGACTGTCCTCCTCTTTCAGCCAAAGCCCAGAGAAATCAAATTCAGGGCTAAGCCAAAAGGAAGCTTTTTCAAATACTTGCGCAGTCAAGAGGGAAATGGAGAGACACTATTTCAGGTCAAAACAAACCATCACCCCTATACAAAGCAAATCGCTTTTTAATACGTAACCACATGCAGGGGGTGAGTTTCAGGACATCTTTTTCTCCTCAGCATCGTCTGTCTGCCAACAGCGATACAAAGAAATCACAAGGCGTAAAATGAGACACTGCCACAAAAATAGATGTTATATGCACATATGCAATGTATAAAGAGATAAGACACAAGTACCAGAACACCAGGGGTCTGTCTTGGCTCCAACCAGTAGAGCCTGGTGGGGTGTCCCCTCCCCAAGGGCACTTCTTGCAGGACGGGGGGGGCCCTTGGCAACCCCCCGGCTGGGGCAGTGCCTCGATTCACAGTCTTAGCAGGCTCCAGGACAACAAAGGCTGGTGAGCAGATTCCATCCTGCTGCTTTTTGGGGTCTGTTGATTTGTAAGGTTTCCGTATCACAGTCAGTCAGCTCCTCACCCTGTCCTAGGCACTCCTCCAGGCCACTTCGGAGGGGTTTCAGCCCACTTCCAGCATCACTCTGCTCCCAGGCTGCAGCCAGGAGCTTGACCCTTCCCAAGGCCCATCCTGCCCTGCAAGCAGCCCCCGGAGCCCCGACACAGCAAGGCAAAGCAGGGCACGAAGGAAGAGAAGCAGGGAGATGAGCCCACCCCACACCAGGACGCGCACAGGCTTGCTGCTGGGCTAGCCCTGCACTAATTACCTGATTTTACTCACTCGGCAAACAGTACAGGCTTCATACCGGTGCGAGAAGCAGATGTGATGCTCAGGGTGAGGGATGCAAGGGGGGAGAAGGTGAGTAGATCCCCAACCCCTCTGTCCTCTCTGACCACCCTGGCTTTGCCATCCTGTCTTGTCTTGAACCAAACCTTGTCCCCCATCATTGATTCTTCTTGGGATTTGGGAGAATTTGCCCAATGGTGGGGGGAAAAAAAAAAAAAAATCCACATCTTAGGTTAAAAAATACAGAGAATTCAGCAAAGGGGCTGTGCTGGTCTCCAGGATGACACTTCAAAGGGCACAAAGTTGGTCTGACGTGGAGAGGCAGGCAGCAGTCACTGCATCCCTTCCTACCTTTCCTTCTCACTGCTTTGGCAAAACTCCACCACACCGAGCAACTGTAGGAGCAAACCCCCATCGTTCCTCCATCTGAGGGCACAGCTGAGCAGAGGAGAGGAAGGCAAGGACAAGCCAGTGATGAACACAAGGGGAGCTTGGCTGGACCTTCCACACAGTTCTGCCCAGAAAGGTCACAACAGCCTAGCACCCACTTCTCCCAGATTCCCTGGGAAGGCTGCTGAAGTGCCACAAAACCCTGAGCTGCCTCTGCTCTCACCAACTCCACCTCCCACAGAGACCCTTCAGATGCTGCTGAGCTTCTCAAAGTGCTTGGTAACATCCCCTTTTCTAAAGGAACTGGGTCACCAGGGGCTCAGGAGGAGGAGAGGAGACGGAGAGCACAGGAGGGAGGGAGCAAGGAACGGAGCAGAGGGGCTCAGGCAGGCCGAGATGAGGCTGGGGACTGATCAGCATCATGACAAAGGTGGTCCACGCACACGGGTGATGAGGAGACCCTGCTGCACCCAGAAGCAGCAATTCAGTGCTACGTGCCTGTAAGGTAGCAAGTTCATCTGCAAGAGGCTGCCACAAGCAGCAAGCAGGGTGTCCTTCCTTGGACCCCAAGAGTCTGACAAACCTCCCCCCTGGGATGGCTGCACCTCCCTGAAAGACTTCTCCTGGGAAAACAAGACAAACCAAAACACAAACGTGTCGCCCTAGACCGCCTGAAAGCTCTGCTAGGGCATCTTGTTTCAGGCACTGGAAGACAAAATCCTCGGGGCACTGCTCGTAGGTGTGCACAGCCAGAAGAGCTCGTCATCGCTGGTGGCTTTTCAAAACACGGCTCCTGGTTCGCAGTGAGGCTCCAAAACGGGCTGCCCACAAGCGATGCTGCACCTGCATCCCCCACCCCGGCACGACCCCTCGGCTCCGTCTGTGCGAGCCGGTGCAGCCCTCAAGTCCTGCAGCCCTCACACCTCACCTTGAGCTGGACCCCGCAGGCACAGGGTGGCTGCCCACCCACCACGGAGCCTGGTGGGAAGAAACCAGGGCCCTGCCCCGAGGAGGGCAGGGCTGCTGCACCCACCTTTGCAGGGAGAGCTGCTGAACACCTCAAAACTGAACCTGGTGAGGAATGAGCTCCAGGCTGGCTCTCACTGGGGGAAAGGAAAGGTCCCAGCTGCTGGGGAAGGGATATTTTAGAGGCATCCCTAAGAAAGTTGCTCTCATATCTATAAAGGCTATTTCCATACTGGCATTCAGGCAGCACGATGTGGTCCATCCCGTGGGTGCTGGGAGTTGTGCTGGACCCCAGCAGGAGTTTGCTGCGTTGCACCGGACCTGCCCCACTGCACCTCCGAGGAGCTGCCCCAGCCTGCAGGAGCCACTTGCCCCCCCGGAGCACTGCCTGCTCCCCTTGCCAGGAAAAGCTGGGCTCTAGGTGGGGGATCAGGGGCTGCTCGGGGAAGCCACCACCCCCTGGCAGCCGGCTGGCTCCTAAGGGTGCTGCTGCTGCTCGCGCAGGGAGAGCAGCCTCCTCGTGATGGAGCTCCCCAGCCCCAGAGAACAAGGACTCGCACAAGCCCTGAGCAGGGCAAGGAGCGGGCTGGGGGGGCAGCAACCACAGCCCAGCTCCTGGGGGGCTCTCGGGGCTGCCAGCCAGCAGAGTCTGTGGCTCCACGTGCTTTCCTGCCGCTTCCAGCTGTTTGGGAGCTAAGGCCGTCCAAGCCTCCGATGAGCAACCTCCAGAAGAAGTGCTCGGACCCAAAGCGTCGGCTGGGTTGGCCTGGACGGGGACATTGTGCCACCGAGCCACTAGTGTGTTTGAGTGCAACAGAGGCGAGTGGCTTGAACCCGCCAGCTCGCACCCGGGCTGGATCCGATCATTAGGAATACTGTTATCTATGGGAGCAGAGGTGCTAACTTCTGCTTGAAACACTTGGCCCGGGTTTGCCAGCTGAAGTGCTACAGGGGACTTGTTGCTGGAGTCCAGGACATCCAGAACAGCCCCCTCCACCAGCCCAGCAGAGTTAAATGGGACCTGCTGTTCCAGTTGAGCAGAGCTGACCTTGGAGGTAACAGAGGCTAGAGACACCACGGCACCTTGGCCTCGTGCACCAGGTGCCCGGGGCTGTGCTGGGGCTTGGAACACTGAATCAGTTGCCCAGCAGTGCTGGAAACGAGCCACAGCGCTATTTTCCTCATCGCAGGGTGACGCGCTGCAGTGCAGGAAGTCCACGCTCTTCTCAGCATCCTCCCCGAGGAGCATCTGCTCCCCATCGGATGTCACCTCGGCGCCTAGCCTCTCGCCAGCCTCCTGAGCTGGCAGCTCCTCCTCTGCACCCAAGCTGAGCAGAGCCTCCTCCCACCGCTGCAGCTCTGCGTTGTCCACGTTGAGGCTCTGGCAGACGTTTCCCTTCACCTCGCTCTTCTCAAAGAGGGTTTCGATAACCACCAGGAGGGAGTCGCTGTCCTCCTTGGCATCACCGGCTTCCTCGTTCTGGCTCAGTCCATCAGGCTCAGCGATGAGATCTGGCAAAGGGAACTGAGGCATGTTATCAGTGTGGGAGATGTATAGGGATGCATCCTGCTTCATCATTGCCCCAAGAAGAGAGTTGGGGTCTACTGAGCGCTGCTTCGAATGGGAGTTTGCTTGTGCCTGCAACTCCTCCTTAGCCTGGAAGGAGTCCAGGAATCCAGGAAGGTCATTCTCGTACAAGACTGCTTCCCCTGTGGCAAAGCTAAAAGGCAGCTGCAGGCTTCTCTTCCGCAGATGTTCCTCCCCTTCTTCATTCCTTCGGGGCGAAGGGTAAAAAAAAAAAAAAAAAAAAAAGGATGGAAACAGCATGAGCACCTCTTCTGGGCCAGGCAAACCCACCCTCCCAACAGCAAGACGGGAGGTCATAGCCCTGCCCCTGGCTAAAGAAAAAGGTGCTGGACTGGGCTGGCCACAATGCCACAGTGCTGGGAAGCCCCCAGGGAGATCTGCATGGCTCGGGGAAGGGCTGAGCATCCAGGGCTCACCCCAGGCGGGAGCAAGCGTGTCCACAACCCCCTTCTCAGAGCCGTTCCGCTCGTGCCTCCCTGCTGCAGGAGGGCACGTGCTGCAAAGCGCCGATCGTGCAACCCAGCCACCCCCATCACCTCCGTGTGCCTCGGGCGGGCAGCCCCACGGCCACCCACGCCGAGGGCGGGCGAAGGCCAGCGCAGACCTGGCGATACTCACGACAGGGCTCTCTGCCGGGCAATGATGCAGTCGGGCTTGCCCTCTTTGTACACCAGCCGGGCGTTGGCCTGCACCCACACCCAGCTGCCCTTCTTGGTCAGCAGCCGGAAAACCGTCAGCCCGCTCTCCCCCGTCTTCATCACTGGGGCAGGGAGAGAGAAGAGAAGGCAGCGGGGACGTGGGGACCCCGTGGGAGGGGGCAGACAAACGGCACGTGGCGAGACGCCACGAGGCCGAGCGTCACCTCGCACCCGGGCTCCCCAAGCAGGTATCACCCAGGAGGGGAGAGCCTTTAGCGTGGCTGCTCCAGGCCCAGGGCACACGGCCCACCAAGGAGGCACAGCCGGAGCTGCACCGGTGCTGGGGAGCCAGGAGGGTCCCCCCCAAATGCACCCACCCCCATGGGCCCCCCCCCTCTTCCCCCCAGCACTCACTTCTCACGTGGTTCTCTGCGCAGTGCATCACGTCGGCGGCGTGCACAAACTGGTACCCGGATCCCCTCCCGCACAGCTCCGTTTCTGTGTACCCCAGGACAACCTTCCCCCTGGGAACAGTGCAGAAACCCCAAGGTGACACCAGGGATGGATTTCCCCCCCCTCCTTGCACCCCACTGGCCAAACGTGATCCCCTGGCCAGCACCCAGGCAGCTAACCAAAGCCTCCCACTTTGGGCGGTGCAGCTTTCCATCCTGGCCTGAGCTGCATCCCCTCTTCCACAAAACCACCCTAGGCTGGGTTTACTGGCCTGAAACCCAGCAGCCAAGGAGTGTCGGGAGCCCAGTTAACCTGCTCCCCGTGTTACTGGGGGGCTGCAGCAGATGGACAAAAGCACCTTGCCACAGGAGTTGCGTCAGAAGCGCCGTGTTCCCCTGACTCTGGTTTTCTGTCCAGCACCAGGGGTTTTGCCACGGGGAAGGTGAGAGGTGCCCTACCAGGAATCACAGGCCATGGGAGTGAAATCCAGCTTGTGCTTCGTCTGGAAGATGAGCGTCTTGGTCCGAAGCTCCAGGACGGAGTGAGGCTGGAGGAGAGTTGCGATGGCAAAAAGAGCGAGCGGGGACCTGTCTGATGCCTTCTTCTGCTGCCCGAGAAGGAACTTCAAGCGCCCGCGGAAGTTCAAAGCCTTGGAGGGGATTAGCAGAAGTGGGTGTGAAGAAAACGGGGTGATGGGAACTGGCTGTGCTCCCACCCCTATGGGACACGAGTGGGGACCCTAGGGAACACGCTGGGGGCAGAGGGGTGACCTGGTGTGGGGCTGCGTTACCAGAAATCCCGAGGAGTTATCCAACAAGCAGCGGAAGCGGCAGGTGAAGCTCCTCTCCACAGAGGAGGGCTTCTCAGGGTGGAGGTGCTCTGGGCTGGATGTGGTGCTGCCTCCAGCCAGCAGTGGCTGGTCAGTCGGAAAGGCTGGGGAAAAGGGTAAAAAAAAAGGGAAAATGAAGCCAAAGAGCTGTGAGACACTGGCCCAGAGAAGCTGTGGCTGCCCCCTCCCTGGAAGGGTTCAAGGCCAGGTTGGATGGGGCTGGGTGCCCCCTGGGCTGGGGGAAGGGGCCCCTGCCTTTGGCCATGTGGTTGGAAATAAATGGTCTTTAAGGTCCTTTCCAAACCAAACCATTCTGCGAGTCAAAGATAAGCTTTCCAAGCTGCACACCTCAAGCTCATGGCCTTGCAGGCATGTTCCTGGTGGAGACTTTGCTGCTGAAGCAAACCCATGAGCCTCACAAGATGGGCAAGACCTTGCCATGAGAAATTACCAGTTCATGAGAATTTCTGGTGCCCTGGCCTCTCAGACAGGAGCAAGACAAACAGCCCCACCCTCGCTGAAATAAGCAGGGCTTCTAACACTGAAAAGCAAAAAGGTTTGGGGGGGAAGTGTCCCCGTCCCTCCGGCACAGCGAAAGGCAGCACATCATTGCTGGTGGCTGCTTTTGGCAACGGGTGGCCGTGCCAACCCCTGGGATGGTTGCGAGGCCCGGAGGGACGCTATGGGATGCTCCTCAGCACAGGGCTGTGCTTGGGAGCTATAAAACTCTCCCCCCAGGAGGGTTTTCCAGAACGGGGTGGGGCATGAAGAGGCGGCTGGCCGGTCCCCAGGGATCACCCCGGCACTCACCGTCGGCAGCGTGCCGGGCGCTGCCGGACGCCGGGGCCCGGTGCAGCTGGCGGTGGAAGGCGGCTCTGTCGTCCGCATGGATCAGCTCGTACACGCTCTGGTAGATGAGATCCGACTGGAATGACACGAGGGGAGAGGGGCGTCGACTCCTGCCCAGCCTGGCAGGGGGGTTCCGGAGGAGAACACGGCAGGAGGCTTTCCTCCGTGGGTACTAACATTGCGGCGATCGAGTGCGAAGAAATGGGCGAGTGTAGCCAGCTGCATGTGCCGCGTGGAGAGTGGGGACCAGGAATTGGCTGCTTTTTTTAGGGAGGGTGGCTCAGGAAAGAGGAAAGGGGAGCAGAGAGGAGGGTCTGCCTGGGGAAATCATGGGAACAGCTCAGAAGTTAATAGAAGCAATAGAAATGGCGATGTCTGTGTAACCCTGGCTGCTCAGGGCTATCACACCGCCCGTTTCCTCAGTGTCCTCCGGCCACAGCTAAGCAGAGCGTTCCAGCTTGTTCTACACACCAGCAAGGCTGAGGTCCTGGTGGCACCCAGCCCTTCCCGGGATGTTTCACACTGGCTCTGACTCCTGATCTTTAACCACCGATCCATGGGAAATGTTGAAACTCAAGCTCCCTCTGTGTCACGGGAGCCCCTGCGCTTTGGGAAGCTCTGCTCCCCGTCTGCGAGGTGAACGCTGCAGCAGTGGCACTTGCCTGGCAGGTCTTAACTTCTAATATCTTCTCAGGACCAAATTCAGACAGGTCTTAACTTCTAATATCTTCTCAGGACCAAATTCAGACAGGTCTTAACTTCTAATATCCTCTCAGGACCAAATTCAGACAGCGCCAGAAAGGCTGTGGGCTGTCAGCAGGGAAATTGTACAAACTGCTGGTTTTGGTTGGGTTTGTTTTTGTTTTTTTTTTTTTGTTTTGTTTTTTTTTTTGGTTTTTTTTTTTTGTTTGTTTGTTTGTTTGTTTGTTTGTTTTTTTCCCTGTTGTTGATTTTTTTTTTTGGTGTTTGTTTGTTTGTTTGTTTTAATCCCACTCCAAACCTGTGGGAGTCTATATCCCAGCACAAACCATCTTCCTTCAGTGGGCCACCAGGAAAGACAACCAGGCTAATGCTGGGCTACAAGGTTAGCCACACAGCAGAAAAACCAGCACGTCCTCACACCTCCTGCCTCCCAACACAGCCCCCTTTCTTCTAGGGCCTTTCCCATTGCGGTCCTGCATGCTGTGGTGGTCAGCATGGTCCTGCCAAGCCCATGGGCAGCTCAGGCTACCGACTGCCACGTCCCTGCCCTCAGAAACGTGCCAGAGCAGAGGCTCTTGCTTAAGCAGACATAGAGGTACCTTGAGAAGACCACTCACTGCCTGACAGCTGCTTTGACTTCGGGCATCAGCCCACGAGGAACCCAGTGAGCTGGGAAAGGGGGCAAAGAGAAGACAAAGAAGAAAACACACCAGTCTCTGCAGGTACACCAGGAACCCATGCAATGAAATGGGTTTGGCAGCTTCACAGCCCTCCTGTTGTCTCAGTCCTTTGGCCAAAGGGGCTGGACATCAGGAGAATTGGAGGTGACAGGGTGGATGTGGGGAGAGACCCCCTTTTCCTTGGCATCTCATGTAACCCACAGTACTTCAGGGCACTGACACTCTCACCAGCGAGATGCCTTCAGCCTTGTGTAAGTGAGAGCATGTGTGTCCTGCAGTATGATACAAGAAAAATCTCACACCTCTCTAACACACAAAGACAAGAGGATAGAGAGCCTGACATTGCTCAGCTTGCATTTGTTCCTACTAGTGTCACAAGCCTGCTCGGTGGCTTTCACAACCCACAAAGAACATGACTCATTTGAAAAATGTACATCAAAAATGACCCAAGGGAACTGGGAAGGGAGAAGAAAGCCCTAGCATGGTTACCAGCATCTCCTTCCTAGACCCTGTCTGCATCTGGCTGTTTATAGCCAGGAAAAAATCGTACCCACCTGATGAAAGCCCAGGTAGTCCTGCACAGTAGGGGAGATGTAGAAGATGTAGCCATCTCCAGTCACTGCGATGACAAATCCATTGAGTGCCTGAAAGCAGAAGTTGAACCCAGAGTTACTCTCCATAGCTTCAGTCCAGCTGCTGAAAGAACTTCTCCAGCAGGTGTTTCTTCAGCATTCAGGGACAGGAAGGGACCTTCACCAACACCGAACCCCACAAAAAAAGGAAAGCCCTTGTGACCATGCAATGGTTTAATCCTGGTTGTTTGTTTGTTTTTTTGTTTTGGTGTTTTTTTTGTTTTGTTGGTGTTTTTTTTGTTTGTTTGTGTTTTTTTTTTGTTTGTTTTTTGTTTGTTTGTTTTTGTTTGTTTGGTTGTTTTTTTTTTTTTTAATTTTATTTTTTATTTTTTTCCCAGTGTTAGCATAAGCATTGAGCCAAGACGGACTGACCACTTTTTCTAGACCCGTCACTGAAGCCCACTCACCACAGGGCAGCTCCTGCATCAGGAGGGACCAGCTAAGGAGAGGTTTCATGGACGACCTAGAGTTAGTTACCTCCCCTCCAGCCGTACCAGCTCAGTATAGCTATACTCTTCTAGGGCTCTGATTTTCTCTAACAAACCTGCCTAGAGCTTCAATAACAAGCAGTGTAGAGGGAAGGAGGACTACCCTGAGCCGTGCAGGAGCCTGGTGACTTCAGGAGGAGCCTAGCATCAGTTCAAGCTTAATGAAGCTTTCAGAGATAGTAACCAAACTGCAGTCACTGACCTGACCTATTTATCCACTTGTTCATTTTAAGGATGGCCTCCAAAGACACTTTAGACCTTGCTCCTCACCCTGAATTTTACAGTTAGGAGGTAATACCAGCTTATTTCTGCATTTCTGTATGTCTTCTCCCCACACTTTCTCCAATCCCCAAAACCTGTCTTTTAATCCTTAGCACCTGAGGACACTGATGTCCCCCAGGCTCCTGCTCTTAGCTCCAAGGGTACCTGAACAACTCATCACAAAGTACATGAAGTAAGACCAAACCCAGTCACTGCAATGATTCAAAGATGATAATGCAGCTAAAAACAACACCCACCTTGAAAGCAAAAGAGGTGGAAAACCCTGGAAACTCAGATCTTAGGTTTGTGAAGGCCCTGACTTCTCATCTGTGATGTCTGATGTGGCACCCCCTGGTCCTTATAAGCATGCAAACCGTTTGACACATCTCTTAGGAGGCAACAGCCTCGTGTTCTCATTTGTCTCTCATTTCACAGGACCACAACCTCTTCCCATATGAGTTTGTTCTTCTTTCTGACAAACATACAAAGAGCAATGGGCTCTCTTGAGATGTTTGTCAGGAACAAACCCCATTGCTCCTTAAATATGGCCTGGCATTAAACTGCCGCTGTGAGACACCATACTGGGAATGTTATTCTCTCTTCTTGTTGATGTCCTAGATGACAGAAGATAAGGCTTTAAAACACAACTCCCCCAAATCTCTCTAAAAAAAAAAAAAATCTTTGTGCTCATACCATCTGCCAACTTCACTTCTTGCCTTGCACCCTGCAACTACATACGTACGGCCTGCAGCTAAATCCATACCCAACTGGTAGTTCCTTGCTTGAAAAACACTAAACCCACACCAAATTAGAGAACCTATGCCAAAACCGTGGAGATGATGGCTGGGGTGGAAGGAGGGAAGAGCACACACCTGGTGAATACCCAGGAAAAGAGGCAAGATGAAGATCCAGAGATATCTGGTGACCATTTCAGTCTGGTTTCCTCTGAAAGTACTGCACTCAATAGTAACTCTTACCCTCTGCTCTTGTCTGTAATGCATTTAATTTATTAGTGAATAGGAGGAGAGAAATTAAGAAAAGAAAACACTAAGTGGAGGTCTGTGTTTAATGAGGATGTGGGCAGAAATCTCAGCAGATCTCATAAGCATCAGGCCAGGACCTGCCACAAATATGGACTCTTGGTCATGCTGAGCTGTGCTGGGGGGGGAACGTGGGGACATGCTGTTTGCTTGAGAACAGCCTGGGGAGAAGGGTCCAGTCATCCACGCTGCTCCTTTGGCTCTGCTAATCCTCTGCCCCCATGCAAAGAGGGGGCAGGAGCAGTCGGCTGATACAGCTCATGCATTTGCCCATTTACAGCGACGCACTAAGGCTCACGTGGGCTGGCTTTTTTTAGTATCTTGGATTATTTGAAAGGCTGCTGGCTTGAGCACGTTGCCAGATATTGTACAGATCCAGCTTGCAGTGGGACCTGTCCCTTTCCTTTGTGTGCTGCAACACCCCCCCTCCCCCAGGGGGCCCTGAGTCAGAGTCTTCTGCAATTACAGTATCTGATTAAAATGCTCTTTGGAGGGGGGAAAAAAAAAAAAAAATATCAGGGAGCTCAGCTGGGAGATTTCTGTCACATTAACACCTCATAAGCTCTCCAGATGCCTTCAATCACCCAAGGCTGCCAGTGATCTGGGGGCTCAACAAGTTGCCATCATAATGGTCCAGCTCAAACCCCCCAAGAGCATTCTGGAGCAGCTCCATCCTGGGACTGGGGCAACCACAGGCTCCCTCCTGGCTAGCACGTTATTCCAGCTGTTCCTCTGTGACAATCACACTTGCAGACATTTGAGAGTGCTCCTGGGAACAAAGCTCACACGGGAGCCTGGGTGGCCCAAGCTTTGTTGTGAAAAGTCACAAAAAAATGTCACAAGAGCCTCCCAGGAGCCACTGCCTCAGCAAAATCCCCTGTGGGGACTCTGCTGGGGTGCTCACACCTGCCTGCCTGTCCCTAACAGTGGGCATTCATGCAAAGCCATGCAGGAACAGGGTTGAAGGCACCAGAGTCAGACTTTAAGGAGAGCCAAGTACCCATCTGCTTTTTTTTTTTTTTTTTTGGAGAGGAGGAAGAAGGGAGAAGAGAACTCAAGGCCCAGAAAGCAGAGACACATGTGATATCAGGAACACCACCATGGAGTGATTAAAGGTCTTGCACAGACCTGCCCTGCAGCCCCAAGGAGCAGCACGTTTTAAGCTGAGATGCCTAGATGTTTATTCAGCAACCAGCCTTTCCATGGGCCCTTTCTCTCCCATTTCCTTCCAGCTTACATTTATAAACTGCAGCCCAAGCAAAGAGCATCCCGGCCAGCTGATTCACTAGCTCCTTGTTCTCTGAAATTCCGTGAGAGCTATTTCACTAGACACACACTGGCCTTTCTACAACGCAAAGCTCTCACCGCACATTGAATTTGTCCACCACTGTCTCCCAGACCCACTTTCCCTTCTTTTTTCCCCCTCAACCTTCAAACCAAACCTGTTTTTTTTTTCAGCTGTGAACTCATGCTAGGGACCTCGTGCAATGCCCCGGCTAGGGCACGCAGCTCCTAGCAGATGCTTTCTCCTGCAGCTATCACCATTCTCCTCTCGGCATTTACTAGAGCAAAAGGAACCCACCACCTCAGAGACTAATCTGATCTAACACAGAACTAACACAGATCAGTCCCTGCACCGTGGTATGATACCCCTGCACCTTCCCAGTCAGGATTTACAAACTTGTACACGTTGGGTCCATGAGCTGTAGTGGGTCCCAAGGCAAAACACCAGCTTTGGGCTCAGCCAAAATCACAGACAACCAGCTCCTGGCGAGGAAGGGTCTCCTCTTCCTTCACAGGTGGGACTGCACGCTCCATAGCTGCTGTACAGCTGAGCAGACACAGACCAGTTGTCATGCCCGGCGGATCACAGAAGCCAAGAGAAGACCCCAAATGACGGGGCTGCGGCAGGATACCTGGAGCAGCAGCTCCCCCTCAGGAAACAGCTCTCTGTTGACCTGCAGGTCCATTCGCCTGTTCCCTCCTGGAGCTCTGGGCTGATCCAGCACGCACTCACCAGTGTCCGTAGCTGTGGCTGCAAACAAGAGGGCAAGAAATCAGCACAGAAGGGGCAAACCATGGACATTTTTGTCCTCCTCCCCACCCCAGTGCTGCTTGTGCACGGCTGCACCATGCTACCCAGTGCCCAGGGACCCATCCCAGAGCAAGATGAGACCAATGGTAGCTGGAGCAGAGACCTTTACAGAGCCATCCCCGACTTGCCCAATGCTTCCTCCAAGAGATTATTTCCCCTGCTTGGTCCTGTTTCTGACAAACCTTGCTTCTGCTGAGGTCTGAGGCAGAGATGCAAAGGACAGAGGGGAGGTGAGCATTTTTGGGCTGCCCAGGCTAGGAAAAACCACTCAACGCAGCAAGAAGTCTTCAGGTTAGAGCCAGGTAGAGCTGGTGTTGGCCTCAAGCCACCCCTGTGCCACAATATCTGCTTTCCTGCCCTTCAGGGCTGATGAAGGACAGCGGCAAACCTTCCCAAACCATCTGAGATGATGCCATCAAAGCACCCATTTTTTCTGCCTTTGGCTTCTTGGATGTAGATCAGAGGGTTGGTGGCCACAGCATTCCCAGTAAGACACATAAGCAGCTCTCTGCTCCCAGGACTCACTGCCATGACCTCCCCATTCACGTGAACAAGGATGGCAGCTCATGGGGACATCCCCAGTGTGGTATTTCATCTGCTGGGGAATTATCCTCGAAAAACATCAGTCCAAACTCAGCTTCCAACAAAAGGACCATTTTCAAGACATGATTTTGCACCAACTTAACCAAAAACATGCAGGAAAACCTCAAAGCAGCCCCTGTATAGGAACTACCCCACCCCTGTGAGCTCCTGCAGCACCCTGAGGTCAAACAAAAATCACACACCCTGTGCCCAGCCACATCACTGCCTGCCCTGTCTGAGCCCTGGGTTTGTGATGGTTTTGCATGACCTTGGCTGGATCCAAATGGTCTTCTGAATTTGAAGGAGTGGTAGGAAATGAGGAAAAACCTCAAACCATTCCAAGTCTGATCACACATTTAATTTTCTCCACAGTAGAAGTTCTCACCTCACCACTGAAAGGTTTGGGTTTTCTTCTCCCCCAGTAGCCCCAAGTTCAAAGCCAAAATAATTCCAAACCTAAAAAAAGTTTCATCTGAAACTGCCGATACAAGACATTTTGCTTTTCATCAAACCATCAACATGCAAAAGCATTTTCCCTGATTGCAAGGAAGGTCTTGCAATCTTTCCCTGATTAGCTGAAGGTCTTGCATAAAGTGACACAGAAGAGCCACGCTGTTTCAGTCACACAGGTTTAAATAAAAGTGGAGAGGGTGCTCTGAGCCCATTAAGCAGAATTAGCCTCGATCTCTATCGCTGATAGAGCTGGGCTACTTCAGCCTCCCCCAGACCTTGAGTGCTCCTTGGAGATGCTCAGGCAGCAGCTGCATCTTCTGCTCTTTCCATCCCGCACCATCACTCGCTGGAGGAAAGTCCAAGCTTGCGGGGAACTCCCACGGGACATGCCTTCCCCTCCCCGACAGCTCATCCGTGGGTCGCAGGTTTAGCCCATGCCACAAACCTGCATTGACCCCCACGTAAGCTCACATTCCCATTTCTGCAGGGGACAACCCTCTGCATAGACCCTTCCCAAATCAGCAAGAGGTAGATCGGCCAGGCCAGGGGACACGAGACCTCTGGGAAAGGTTGGGGAAGATGACGTTCAGCACCAGGAAAGCAGTCACTGTGTTCAGTTTGCTCAAGGAAAGGCACGTCCCCAGGGGTTTCAAAAGACAGGTTTGAGGCAGTCACCAAGCAAAAAGTTTCCTCGCACAATTGCCAAGCGATCCCAAGGGAAAAACATCCAAAGCCCATGTGGACCACGGGCATGGCTTCAATTTGCACATGATGGAGTGGAATAGTTTCAAAATGAAGCATTGATTCTTTTTTAAAATTTGAAGTCTTTTGAATGCTGAGTCCCCTCTAAAGCATTGAAATGAGGCAAGCTGGCAGGGAAATTAAAAAATAAACCAAGTTCTTCCAAAACAAAGCTCCAAAAGGGCAGAGAGCGTTTTGAGAGGATGCATGTCCCGAGGGCACATGGTCTCCCCTCCAGCTCTCTCCCAGTGTCCACCAGCAACATCTGCAGGGAGAGCTGCAATGAGCTGGGGAGAGCTGCTGTGGGCTTACAGAATCCAACACGGAACACTTATTCGCTCATTTTGTGTTTCCAGCAAAATTGTTTCTTCCAACTCTCCTATCACTCTTAGCAAGCGGCTTTTAATCTCCCATCAGACACGCTTACTTCCCCTACTCTCAAACACAGAGTGGTCCATTTCTACACAGCTGAGCTAGAAAATCCTGCAGAATCTATCTCCCATGGGAGACACTATATGATGACCTGGCTTGGGGAGAAGGCCTGGAGCACAGAGAGAGGGTAGAAAACCCAAAGAGATGGTGTCTGACAACTGCTTTGCCAGTAAGCATCACTGCACTGGGGTTGTAAGGTTTAACTGCAGGGCGTGGATTGTAACTGGTGCTTCTAGGTACCGGTGGTGTAGAGCAGCTGGTGTTCACGTCCTGCCCAGTCCTCACCATCCAAGGCCAGAGGCCAAGGAGATGCTGAGGTCAGTGGATGAGGGAAAACACACGGTGCTCTCCTACCAAAATAACCCAGGAATGTGTGACACGGGCTCCCCTTACTTTCATCATCACTTCAAGACCTCTGGCCCAGTCTTGTTCTTGCAGATGGCTTCTCTGCTTCAAGAGACAGCCATCCTGCTGGGTGGCTTTGCCAGTGGTGGAGTGAGCATCCAGCAGACGGGCAGGGCTGGAGGCTGCTCTCAGAAGCCACAGCCATTCCTCAGCAGCCTAGATGATCTGGAGACCTCTTGCACCCCTTTTCAGGTGGTGACTCTCTTCATGTTCAAACATGTCGTGACTAGGTGTCCTCCAATAAGCTGGGAGCAAAGCATCCCTGTGGTTTTCCCTCTCCAAACAGGTCTCTGAACCCATCCTCGCGTAAACTGTCAAGAGCCACAGGGATTGGGAGCAATCCCAATGAGATGCCTGAGCACATCCAGACTGGGGACTCCAGGCCCATGTAACCTCCAGGGGTACAGGGGCTGTTCCCAGTTATTTTTTGACTCAAAAAGGAAAAAACAAAAAAATCCTTTTAATCAAAGTGCAGAAAAAAACCCCATGCCATATGCAACATGGGTAACCTCATGGGAGGGAGAGATCGCTCTTGAAACAACCCCCATTTGCCTGAGACAAGTTATTAGTCTCTGGGGGATTTCATCAGCCCATAAATCCATTCTCACCAGAAACAACTGGCAGGATGATCACCCCATGACAGGCAACGCTGGCTCCATCTCCTGATGACATGGGGTGGTGGCTTGAAGCCTCCTTCCCCTCCTGCTAGTTCCCCGAAGCAGCTGGGCTTAGGTGATGCAGAGGGCATCTCCAGGACATGCTGTGACTCTGGAGAGGAGCTTGTGGCAGGGTCAAGCTGGAGCCTGAACTGCTGGGAGCAGGGAGGACTGACAGCCAGGGTTCTTCACCTCAGCAGAGCAGGCTATGTGATGGGAAGATGCCACCCCTCAGCATCCCACCAAGAGCCCCAGGTCCCTCTGCCTGCCGAAGGCATGCCTCCAAGGGGATGCTGGCTAAGATGCCCTGAAAACAATTGATGGCAAGAAGAGGAGGGCCCTGTCTGCTGCAAGGCAGGATAAAGCAGCTGCTAAGCCACGTTGAAAGCTGGCTGATTTACTCCCTGTTTAAAGATACTTGTTGTAATGGCCCACTACAAGTTCAGGTTCACTTCCACACAAAACAGCTGAAACCACAAACTTAATGAATTTGAAAGAAACAAGTCCAACACATATACAGTATACGATATACTCACAGTAAAAGAAATAATGATAGAAACAAGGACCATGCACATTCGGTGTTTGTGCCCAGCTTTTTCAGTCTCCTGCTCTGCCTCTTTGAGACTTAATGGGAATTAGTGCAAGGTTAAAAAAGACCACAACAAAGGTGACCTACAGTTACTACAGAAATTCTAGGCGTTTGCTGAAGCAATTCGGTGATCATTTTTGAAGTGCTGGGATAGAGGTTATCGGTGTGTAATGTTTAAGACAGGAGGGGCAATCCAGCTCTGTCCTGAAGCCCCCCACACCAGTCACAGCACTGGAGGAGGCTTCCAGCTGCTGGTGTGATCCCCAAAGACTGAAAGGCTTTCATTCAAAATGAAGCCACAGGAGATGTCAGCCAGGATCAGTAGCATTTTTCAGCATTGATGAATTGGGATGTGTCCTCTACATCCTCAAGAGCATCCCTTTGCGTTGGCTTTCTTGCCACTGCAAGGAGGTTTAAGCCCCATAATGTGGAGGAAAGGCCTCAAGTGTGAGAAAGCAATCTGATCTCTTCACTTTTTGCTCATCACATTCACAAAGGGAAAACACAGCAGTGCAGTCACAAAGGCTAACACATCCCTTGCCTCTGGCATAGTCTCATCACTGAAAAAAGGTATCGGTAAAAAATCCTGGAATCAATTCTGCTCTCATGGACTGAATCACACCGGAGGGAGATGACAGACTTCACCCATGGCAAGCATTTCTCTTTGAACAGACTCCAAAGATGCCTGGCATCAAGAAACCAAGAGCTCCCAGCTCTTACAGCAACACCAAGCCACGAGCAACCATTTTCCTCTTGGACCCGACCCCAAACCCCATCAAATCAGCACCAACTTTTGCCTCAGCTGTTTAACAAAGGCATCGTGCCAAGCATTGTGCTCATGCCATCCAAGTAAAACAGGCAAATGCCAAAACCACAGATTATAAACCTATTAGAAAAAGTCACACAGCGTTTTTCCAAGGAGCACAGAAATGCCCAGGGGAGTGCTGGCAGCCCCGAAGCCCACGCCAACCTCTCCAGCCTGCTGCTGCAAACGTGCCTGAACAGTCCTGCAGGATCTTGCCCAAGGAGGGATTTAAGCTTGACTCTTTTCACCTCATCGGTTAACTTCAGGTCCAGACACC